ATATACTGGCAAATAACTTTACATCTTATCTAACCACCTACAACAGTCATTCAGTTTCATAATAAGATACTTACCACACAGTAACAAACATCAGCTCAAGTTTCTACTTGGCAATAGTCTATTTAATATACCTGACAAATTCTAACATTTAGCATATAAAATTCTAAGTGACAAGAGTCTAACAAAGCTCGGCATGGTGATCTATCTCCTTAACCCTAGAACTTGGGAGGCAGCAGTTGGCAGGTCTCTGTGTTGAAGACAGCCTGGTCTATACTGATAGTTCAGGCCAGCCAGGGCTACACAGAGAAAGCCTGCCACAAAAAAACCAAAAAGAAAAAAATATAATAATAAACAGTTTAAAAACAAAACAAAAACAGTAAGGTCAGAAAATTTATCTACAATAGGGTTTCTTAAATGTTTAGTTGAATCAAAACTGTAATCTCAGTACTCAGGACACAGGGAGAGCTGGATCTCTGTTCAAAATCAGCCTAGTTTACATAAGGAATTTCAAGGCCATACAGATTTAGTATAAAAAAAAAAAAAAAATAAAACTTATTAAGCATAACTGCTGGCCTCCACCTCAAGAACAAGAATTTGAGCTGGGCGTGGTGGTATTCATCTTCAATCCCAGAAGGCATTCCAGGACAGGAGAACCAGGGCTACCCAGAGAAGCCTGGGTGTGGGGGTTGTCTCTACAGAGAGGGCAGGAGTCCAACAGGGAAACACACTGTGAGAACAGTAGCCAACAAAGAGTTTGATTGGGGGTTTGGAACCTGAGACACTCTCATTCTGTAGCCCAGGCTGGCCTCAAACAACGAAATTCTCCTGTTCAGCCCCCACTGGGCAGGGTTACAGATATGAGTTACTATTTCTGGTCAAATGAGTATTTATTTGTAAAATGCTTGCCGAGAATGCATGAAGCCCTCAGTTTGATACCTAGCACCACATAAAACTGGATGCGATAGTCCATGTCTATAATTCCAGCATCCTCATGACATAGCAAAAGGTCATCCTAGGTTATAAGAACTCCTACTTCTAAAAATAAATGAGTTAATAAAAAGCAGGAAGCCATAGAACTAAACCTTTATTAAAACATCTTCAAGCACTAACTGTAAACGGCATAATACATAGAGAACAGGATAAAATACAACACAAAACGTGGTACAGTGTGCACCCTCCATAAATATCCACCCTCCCTACTGAAAAGCAAAGCTTTGGATAGTTTAAAATATGAAATTGAGGCCTACAGAAATCCGAGGTCTCAAGAAAATAAAAACAAGCAATTTACCATATTCTTGAGACAGGACAAAAGATTCAGCAAGAGCAGCTGGTTAAATTCTTTTCACGATGAGTCAAATAGGTCAAACATCAGTTGTACATGGTTCACAACTAAATTAGAACATATGGGTCAATAGAGTGTTTTCTATAAGAAAAGAAATTAAATTCTTTTCTGACCAATGTTAAGAAACAAAATTTGACATTTAATCAACTGTATGTTACTTTGTGATGCTTTTGACTGACTTGTTAAGTTATTCAGCTATATCAAAAGGATGATGTAAACTTTAATTTTTAAAAATATACTTTCCTCTATATCCTCAATAATCCTACAAAATGAATCTATTTTAGCCTTGCCTTCCCATTTCTACCCAAGCAGCTGCTAGTTGCTAGTAAATGATCATTTAAACCCAAAAGAACAAGAGCAGAGCCGGGCAGTGGTGGCACACACCTTTAGTCCCAGCACTCAGGAGGCACAGGCAGAGGCAGAGGCAGGTGGATCTCTGAGTTCGAGGCCAGCCTGGTCTACAAGAGCCAAGTGCCAGGACAGGTTCCAAAGCCACAGAGAAACCCTGTCTTGAAAAACCACAAAGCTCAAGAACAGGAGAAGAACAGTGGCACCTGCCTGTAGTCCCAGCTGTTTGGGGAGCTAAGGTTAGAGGACTGCCTGAGTATGTATAGGAGTTCCAAGACCAGTGTAAGACAAACAGCTACAGCAACAACTTCATTGCTTATCTTAAAAGGCCTGGAGTTTGATCCCTAGAAACCATGTAAAAACAAGTTATCCACAGTGGTACACACTTGTAAATAAATGGCTGGAGACACACACACACAGAGGCAGATCTCAGGTCAGTGTGACATCAGAAGCTGTTCTCTAACCTCTACACGCACACACCTGCACACACAATTGCATGCAGAGACACATGCCCATCCTCACCCAAAGAACAGATTTGTGGGGGATGGGACCTTGCTAAAGCCATAAGATTCCTGTCAGAAACTTACCCTGTTTCTTTCTCCCCCTCATTTTTTTTCTCCAACAAGATGTTGCAACTTCATTCATCTTCATAGTCTACAATTTCTTTGTAGACTGATTGGGGTGTGTAGAACTGTTTGTTTCCTCAAAAGCAGCAGCACAGACACGCTTCACTAGGCTCACCTCAAACTCACCATCTTCCTGCTTCAGCCTCCCAAGTGGTAAAGGGCTACAGATGTACTCCTTCAGGATAACAATTTCACCCTTTCTTCTGGAGGGGGGTGTTTGTGACAGGCTCTCACTCCGCAGCACAGCATGGATGGAATTCTAGGTACTCTCCCTTCAGCCTCTCAAGCGATGGGATGGAGGACAGCTATGTGTCACTCCGTCCAGCTGGCTCATCTACCTCATTTACCGAGTCCTGCCACACTTACTGACCTCCATTTAGGTTAAACCTTCTACATACATGTTAAGTCCCCCTAATTGTCTGAACCATCAACAACTTCAAGTTCCCAGTAAGAAGCACGTTACTGAACCTGAGCATGACCATAACACGTACTTGCATTCTTAATCCTTAGCTGACATCCTTCTTTACCAAGAAACACACCTGCCACTTAGGGTCTGCACATACACAAAACATTTTTTTTAACCTATATACTGTCTCAGAAACATAGGCTTACTTGAGGAGTGCTAAACAATTGCAGAGATTCCAAGACAACAGGGTTCTATGAGGTGAGATTTTTATTGTTTTCTGGGCTGCTCTGTAGATAGAAATATTTAAAGTTCAAAATGCAAAATGGAGGAGGAGGCCCTTTAACTGATTCACTTTCTTTCTAAGTGCTAACAGAGCTTAGAATGTTTTGGAGATTCCTGAACACTGACAAAATCAAATAGTTACAGACATAAGGAAACTGGCCTTAGGTTTGCTAAAATTTTCTTATTTAAAGAATGCACATGCTCTAGACTAAGAAATAGTTTATTTTTGCGTTTTTTCAAAATGTGTACTTATGCATAAAAAGCTATTCCTCTTTTACTTAAAGCGAAATGAACCAAGTATGATAAAAGGATGGCTTACAACTGACCAAGATAAGATCATTAAGATGAGGAAAAAATTAAGAGACTATATGTGTTGATGACAAGAGAAACACAGATTACAATAATGTTTTTACAGATAATCCATGAGAAAAAAAACACTACAAATCTCTGATACAATAATTTTGCAGAAAAGCTGTTATGTTCTACACAGATGTAGGTGTATTATTATTAAACTTGTGTTAGAACAGATAAATTAATTTCTGAACTGCATTTTCTAAGGTGTAGTACCTAGATAATTATCCTATCAGTTTTATGTTATCACACATTATATAATTAGCAGTTAAGATTAGCATCCTGTATTAACTAATGAAGTATTACCATACAGCTCAGTAAAATTACTACCCCAAGTAGCAAAACTTATCTAAAGATTGTTTTTGGTGTTTTGATTCAGCTTTTTAAGATGGTGTCTCAGGAAGCCTAGGGTGGCCTCAAACTAACTATGTAGCTGAGTCTGGGACACTCCGGATTTTCTTGCTTCCACCTTCCATATGCTAGGATGATGAGAGCCCCATGCGCAGCAATAATGGTCTACTAGTGCAGGGCGCTGACTGACAGCCCTCACAGGAAAGCAGAGCCCTGTGGAGATACTGAGCCAGGAGAGAGGAGCACAAGGAAGGCTGTGGCACTCAAGATTGAATCTATGGGTTGGTGTACATGCTAAGAAAGTGCTCTACCACGGAGATACATCCCCAGCTATGGGCAACTCTACTCTAACCAAAACAACCCATCATTACAGGTGATGCCACCATACAAGTTTATTTCTGTGACCTATTCTTTGGGTCTATAGTTTGGCTTCCAAAGCATTTCTGAAAATACACCATCACTCCTGGTTTATTTTAACCTTTCAGAAATGGTTTGTGCTCCCACTTAAAGCAATTTGAAAACATGGTACGTTCAGAACAACCTTCTGTAACTAACTTCACACTTCTCTATTTAGGATGTGATCCAGAGCTTCCCTAGCATATGCAAGACCCAGAGTTTGATCCCTACCACTGCATTGGGGATGATGTTACAGCCCACACCTATTTTGTTTAATTCACATTAGTTGTACCTTCCTAAGTCTTTCTGGACTCACGGCCAGAGACTTATAACCAAACTATGTGCTCACAAAGAGGCTGTATGCCAAGGACATTCTTACGATTAATCCACTCTAGTCAAAATGACCATGGTCTGTCTGAGGGCACAGTACTGCTTTCTCTTAACTGCCACAAAAACAATTCTCAAAATGCTTCTTTAAATTTTCTATGTGATCCTTCCTCTATCATCTGGGATATGTTCAGGAAAAACAAATTATCTCTCTTTTCTAATACAGAGATTTTTAAAATATAATTAATCTTTAAATATGAGATTAAAATACTAGTAATTTTTTAAAAAAAAAACTATATTCAACATTATTTAGTGTTAACATAGGAAATTATATGGCTTCCCATATAACAAATTATAGATTTAACTTGAAGCAAAAAGGTTATCCGACTTACCCAAGCTTCTAATTAAAAACCAGGTCTCCTGAGTCTCAGCCCAGTGTTCTTTTCCTTAATTTATGATGTTTTATTAGAAAATTCCAAATATAGACAGACCCCCCCTCAGTTACATGGGTTTGAGTTACACTGATTCACATATACAAACTTTATATAGTGTGACCAATGTTTCAACTCACGCGGTACCCTGCTTCCATTTATGCAGTATGCCAGGCATCGGCACGATTTTCAGTGGCACACAGGCGGTTGCCACCACCAGGGCCCTAGGCAAAATTGCAAAGAAGGCAAAGTTTGTCTTTGGCCCTCCCGTCTCCCTTAGTCATTTCTCTCCTCCCACCTCGTGGTCACCCCCTGCCCGACCTCCCAATGCCACCATGCTGCCCTTCTGACTATCCAGATCCCACCCCCCAAGCCAGGCACTATCCTTTCTTGGAGCCCAGTAAGCTGAGTTACCTATTTTCCTACCACCTTAACTCCTATTCCTAAGGATTCTAATGAGGTTTGAGTCACCTAAGTGATCAGCTGATTAAAGAACTGAAGATACAGTTAACCAAGAGTCTTAGATTTCCAAGCAATTTAAAGAGGAATTAAAAACTCGTTTAGATAAGGGAAGAGATCTTTTAGATAAGGGGAGCAACATTTTCCCAATTGCCACAGTATGCACCACTACCCAAAATTATCTACAGTCTATAGGGACAAACAAAAACCAAAACTTCTATAATACACATCCTCACCTACCTTCCCATCTCCCACTTTCTGGGTCCCCATTTCCAACTCTTAAAGCCAAACACACAACAGCGGTTTTGTGATAAGCTGTCCATGTGTGTAACACAAGGTTTTCCATTATATGGTTCAAATTACATGGTACTATTCAGGGATAGGCCTATGCTTCCCATCTTTAGATAACTTTAAACTTACTGTATGCCAAAAAAAAAAAAAAAAAAAAAAAACTGAAAATTCCGATTTTATTTCAAGGCCCTGAATTACAAATTCATTATACGTGACAAGACAATGTGTTACATTATCCTGAATATATGAAAGAATAAGGATGTCTAAAAAAAAGTTTTTCTCTTATGTTTTATTGAGCTAAGGTCTCACTGCACTACTACACCTGGGTTTCTTTCCACTTTTCCATACATGTAGTTACTCCTGTTTTGTTGCTGCTGAGGAAGGGTCTTGTCCTAATTCAGCCTAGGCTATCCTTGAAATCACTGAAATCCTCCTGCCTCAGCTTCCCACCAGGCCAGAACTGATGCTTCTTCTGAATCAATACAGCACTGAAAATTGAATCATTTCAACTAATTACTATGTTTACTCATAAGCATGAGTTCATCCTTAAATTCAATTGGTCTGGAGGGAAAAAAAAAAAACAATGAATTTTAAGAACCCAGCTTCCTGCTGGAACTAACAGAGAGAAATTTATACACATACATACATATTGTAACAGCTAAAAGGGCTGTTATCAGAGAATTGTTACCTTGATAGGTCAGTTACCCTGATCAACTACCCTCTGAAGTAATATAAGGGAATTCTATCTATGCAAAAGATACCAGGAAGGGCATCAATCCAAAAGAAAAAGGCTGCATAAAGTCAGCCTCAAAGTTTCTAAAATGTTATTCAAAGATGACCTGTTAAGGATCTGTATGAAACCCCTTCTAAATACCCTCACTTACGATGGAAAAGGAACATGTTAATATGTAAAGACATGGTGCAATAATAAACATTCATACCCAAATATGAAGTTAGATTATTCCAGTGACATTCTTAGTTAACATTAACTTTCAAGGGAGTGCTTACTACACGTGAATCAATCTTAATTTCTTTCCAATTTTCCCTCCTCTCTACAAAATAAGTCTGACCCACCCTAGCTATTAAAACTTAACCATTCATTGAAAGCTGTATAAGTACTGCTAAAAGCATTTGAAATAAGTTTTATCTTCTCCCGAATTTTTCGACAAAACACTCAAGCTAATCAACAGGATATGTTTATGTTTGCCCTTTCAAAAAAATTTTAATCGCTAAGAAACTTGCCTAAACGAGTTTTTACAAGTCAGGATTTGGGTTGGTTTTTAAGAAAGTGCTGAACCTTATATTGAAAGTACAATACTAATTATCACCCAAAAGCAACATTTCATCACTTTAGAAATTACCCAGAACAAAGGATAATCCAACACGCAGATAATTCTGTCTGAGGATTCTAACTGAATTTCTCTAAGGACAGGCTCCAAAGCTACAGAGAAACACTGTCTCCAAAAATCAACAAGAGAGCCCTTCTGTTTCCTTCAATTCTACTTCAGTGGACATCCAATTTCCAACACAGTTCTGTTTAGGGCACATACAAAACTTGTCATTATTTACTAAGAAAGCCTCTATTAAGTTATCCAGGAAAACGGAGGTCTCCCAGGAAAAGAAAAAAAAATTGGCCTGAACACTTTTCTACTTACAAAATGGGATCAAACATACCCACTTTAAGAAACCATGGTTTGGGTCAGATTTCCCATTTAAAAAAAAAAAAAAAAAAAAAAAAAGTTTGATTCTGTAGGGCTCGACGAAGCGTCCCTGGAACTGGGGGTTTCGAGGGCCTGGGAGGGGAAGGGGATTGCTTCTCTCAGCATTCTTAGAGGACGGCGGCGAGGGGCGAGGGTAAATACAGGAGCTAGCTGGGGGCTGGGAGCGGGGGGCTCAGCGCCCCGCGCGGGTCAAGGGTGCACACCGCCCGCCCCGCTCGGCAGGGCACCAGCCCGGGGCACGAACTCTCCTTTCTGCCTCCAGGCCCCGCCCCGCCGCGCACCATTGGCGGCCTTTCCCGCCAATCCGCACAGTCACCGCCCCCAAGCCCGCCCGCCAAGCGCTGATTGGACTGGCTGGGAGCCGGGCCCTCGTCGTCACCAATGTGGGGGCCCCTCGCTCTCACCCCGCCGCTCGCGCGCGCCCGCGCCCAGGCGCTGCCCCGAGGCCTCCCCGGCGCGGGCCGCGGCCCGTCCCCTCCCCCCGGCCCCGCCACCCCCACCCCCGGGGCTCTGGCAGCCACTTACCGTCCCGGGAGGTGCCCATCAGCTGGTCCAGCATCGCGCGCATCTGGGCCTGCGCCGACATGGCGGCGGCGGCGGCGGAGCGGGCGGGCGGGCGGGCGGGCGGGCGGGGGTGGGGCGCCGACTGGGCCCGGGCGGGGGGCGAGGGGAGGGGTGGGGGAGGAGCGGCGCTGTCGCGGTGGCCGCCGCGGCCGCGAGGCCTGCGAGCGGGGAGCGGGGGGCGGCGGCGGCGGGCGGGCCCGGGCCGCGGCGCTGCTCCCGGCGGCGTGGACGTGGAAGGCGGCGGCGGCCCCGCGCCCCCGTCGGCGAGGGCGAGCCCGCGTGTCCTCACTCTCCGCCGGCTTCCCGAGACAGACGCGGCACACGGGCCGGGCCGACGCTCGCCTCCTCTCGACGCCGACACCGACGCCCGCCAGGAGCCGCCAACCCCCCCAGCGAGCTCTGACGCCGCTCGCCACCGCCGCCACCGCGACGGCAGGGGAGCGCGCACGCCGCTCGCGCCGAGTCGTTTCCCGTCGCGCGTCGGCCAATCGGCGCCCGGCCGGCCTGGCCCCGCCCCGCCCCTCCCGCCGCAGGCCCCACCCTAACGGCCGCTGGGCGCGTGCCCGCGCGCTGGCCCCGCCCCTCCCGGCCGCAGGTCTCGCGAGAACGCCGGCCCCCCCCTCGGCCCACGCCGGGCGCCGGCGCGTGCGCTCTGGATGCCGGTCACCCCGGGCCGTCCCTGCCGGCGACCCCGGCCCGAGCTCCCGGGGCTGGCGCCGCACGAGCCGGGGACGGGAGGGCCGCGTGCGTCCCTGCGCCTGGGACAGCTGGGAGCCTGGCGGCGGCCCCGCCGCGATGCCGGGCCGCTCTAACCTCAGTGCTGGCGGGGTCACACAATGAGTCATCCGAGTGAGCCAGCTAGGAAATACCCAGGCCTCGGCCGCACGACCGCCTTCCCACACTGGCGAAAAGAAGGGAGAAAGACAAAAAATGGAGGTCCTCTTACGCCGACGGCTTTCTCCTCGGAAGGGAAACGGCTTTTTGTTTTCTCTTTACAACTGCACGCACACTGGAGCAGTGAAATTGCAGTCATGATATCTGAGTAATAGGCAAAAGGAATTCTATTTGCAGAGCTGTTTCTGAGGTGGGGTGTGAGGAAGATGGCCCTCGTTAAACAAGGGAGAAAGGGATGAGACATTATGTTATAGTTTTGCAGGAAGCTGGGTGTCACCCTGGCAGAACAGTTGATGTGCCAACTCGACATAAAACTTTTGTTTTCGGTTCTTGTTTAATTCCCTAGTTGAATGTCTCTCCACCCTTTAGTTTTCATTGGCTGAATTATTTAGGGATATGAAAGTGTTCCCAAATTCTAATATTGACCCCTCCCCAAATCCCTCACCCTTTTGTTTTCAAGACACAAAGCATCCAGTGAATGTTTTGGGGGCCCAAGATTCCCTCTTCTGATTTGTAAGCCCGTTCAGGTAGCGCAGTCTAACTTTTCAGCCCCAGGATCACCCGAGAAGGCCTAGACAGGGAGTTCAGGGGCCTGGTGGCCCGTGCTTACCCCTGGTTCAATAAAGCTCTAAGTGCGGCTGGCTCGTACTGACAGTGGGTCAAATGATTTAGCCCTTGCACTGATAGTCCAGTCAAGCTGCCCTGGAACTTGCCATCCAAGCTCAGCTATGTTTTGGAATGGACTTTCATTTATTGATACAATTTAAGGTCAATGTTGTGATAAGTATATTTCTCTTCTTGTTTATGGGCCACAATGTCTGATTCAAAACTAAGTTCTAAACAACTCCAAACACTTGCAGATCTCCCTTGAAATCTGTTGTATAGCCGGGCGGTGGTGGCCCACGCCGTTAGTTCCAGCTCTCGGGAACAGGCAGGCAGATCCTGTGAGTGGGAGCCTGGTCTACACGAGCTAGTTACAGGACAGCCTCCAAAGCCACAGAGAAACCCTGTCTGGAAAAAAGAAAGAAAAGAAAAAATGTTGTACAAGAAAGAGCCTTAGAGGTTAAAAGCACTGGCTGCAGAAGACCCAAGTTCTCAGCCCCCATCACCCACATGGCCCTCATAGCCCTCTATCTCCAATGCCGGAGGATCTGATGTTCTCTCTCTTACATTCATGTCCCAGGGCACCATGAGCACATTTGCACATATCATACTAACACTGAGGTAAAACACTCGTGTGTATGAAAACGTTTTTTCAAAAAGAAAATTGATGTACGATAGTAGAAAACTGTACAAATAGTATGTTCTAGAGAAATGCACTATCATAAAAACAGTATTGGCTGGGCAGTGGTGGCACACGCCTTTAATCCCAGCACTGTGGGGGAGCAGGAGGCAGAGGCAGGCAACTCTCCACAAGTTCAAGGCCACCCTGGTCTACTGAGTGAGTTCCAGGACAGCCAGAGCTATACAGAGAAACCCTGTCTCTCCCAAAAAAAAAAAAAAATACATTAAAATACCAAGTAAATGCCAAGTAACTGAGGGCCCTTTTTTTTTTTTTTTTTTTTTTTTTTTTTTTCCTTTTTGGTGGGTTTCTCGGTTTGAGGCGGCCTCACCATGGAACTGACTACTCTGGGACTGACTTAGACTAAGCGAGCCTATAACTCAAGAGATCCGCCTGCCTGCGCCTTGTTACCGGGTGTTTTGGTTTGTGTGCTGCAGTGTGAGTGTAGGAAATAGAGGACACCTTTCAGAGCTGCCCCTCTGCTACCCTGTGAGTCCCAGGGATCACAGGTAGGTTGTCAGGTTTGGTGGCAAGTGTCTTCACCTGCTTACTGCCCCGAATCGTATAATCAGTGTCCATATATTCACTTATTTTACTTTTCCTTCCTTCTGACACCTCTGCCTTCCCATTGGGGATCATTTGTTTTCTTTGAAGTTTTGTTTAGATTGGTATAAACTGCAGCCCAGAAACTGAATCCACACCACTCTGGTTTGGGGGGTGGGGGGTACTGCTCTTTTTTTTGCTTGTTTGGTTGGTTGGCTGGTTAGTTCAAAACAGGGTTTCACTGTGTAGCCCTGGCTGGCCTGGAACACACTATGTACAGCCGGCTTCCCTCAAACTCATAGAGAGCCACCTGCCTTCGCTTCCCTGGTGCTGGGATTAAAGGCGTTCAATACTACGCCCAACTGTTTTTTGACTTTTGTAAAATAGGGTCAAGGCTGGCCTTAATCTTGCTATATATCTGAAGATAACCTTGAAATGATCATCTTGCCTCCATCTTTCAAGTTCCAAGGTTACAGCTCGGCAGTGCTGTGTTTAATCAAGTTTCGCTGGAGTGTGTCCAGGCTCTCTCGTACCCCTGCTATCTACACTTGGTTGCTTTTCCCTTTAACCAAGAGTTGTAAGGTTATAAAACTATACTATATGACCTGCAAGAGTTATTCTTAATAGAAATTTAGCTCCCCTACTTCAGAGTTCGCCTTTTTTTTAGCCTGCTAGTAAATTCCATTTTCTGTTCGTCTGGCAAGAATTTTATTTTGTTGCAGTATTACATAATTTTTCATCCCACTACTCCCTAAGTCAGTGTTCAGTTTGTCCTCATTCCTTGATTTTAGTTACTTAAGCTTTGGGTTTTTGGTTTTGTTGTTGCTGATTTTGGTTTTTCAAGACAGGGTTTCTCTGTGTAAAAGCCCTGGCTGTCCTGAAACTCACTTTGTAGACCAAGCTGGCCTTGAACTCACAGAGATACACCTGCCTCTGCCTCCTGAGTACTGGGATTAAAGACATGTGCCACCAAAGTCCCACAATTTTGGGGGTTTTGAAGTATACATTTTTCTTCATTGTCCCAGGGGCTCAATGAAAATAGTTGAGAATCCATGAACAACAACAACAACAACAACAAAAAAGCAGCAAACAGCCAATCCTGGTGAAAATGTCTGCAACACTTGAGAAGAGGAAGCATGAAGATCAGAGGCTCAAAGCCAGCCTTGGCTTCATAGTGAGCCAACCCAGGCTATATGTGAACTTGCCTCAAAAAAAAAAAAAAAAAAAAAAAAAAAAATCTGTGTGATACCCTCCTGTAATCCAAGCTACCTGGGAGACTGGGGCATGATGAACAAAAATCCAAAGTGCTCTATTATCTCACCGAGTTAAAGGCCAGCCTGATTGACAGAAGCCTGTGTTGAGGTGGGTAAAGTGGGTTAGTGGGTAAAAGTGCTTGCCCTGCAAGCCTACCAGTCTGAGTTCAATTCCCCGAACCCACAGAGGGAGGAAAGAATCAACTCAGAAGTGGCCAATGACCCCACAGGTGCCCACACTCACATACACAAACATGAATACAATTAAAGCTGATGGTGGTGATGCATGCCTCTAGTCCCAGCACTCGGGAGGCGGAGGCAGGCGGATCTCTGTGAATTCAAGGTCAGCCCGGTCTACAGAGCGAGCGCCAGGACAGGTTCCAAAGCCACAGAGAAATCCTGTCTCAAAAAAAAAAAAAAAAAGACAGAAAGAAAGGAAAACGCTTTTTCAGTGGTTGTGCTGTTCTGACTATAACTCTACAGAGTAAAGTAGAGGAGCATGCAGTCAATGACACCAACTCAACTCAGTAGCGCTCTGTGTGTAGAAAGTGCTTTAAGGAATACGAAGATGGTGAGACATGGTCTGTGGTCTAACACTTTGTCTACTTTCTTGGCGTTGGGGAAGCACCCCTCCCAATAAAGGGAAGGCACAGCACAAAGGCCAGGGAGAGTCGGTGGTTTACCAAAAATAAATTTCTTTATAGAATTAAGGACGTTTGAAGTAAAAGGATCACTTAGGATAGTTTAAAAGTTCAACCAAATGATGATTGGTAGGGTTCGTTTCTGCAGCACTCACACTAAAATTCACTGAAATTGAACAACACAGAGGGTTAGCATGAAAAAAATCATAATTTTAGTGGTATGTATTCTACACTTTTGACTAAAGTAAAATATTTCTTTTCTTTTTGGGAGAGGTCCCTTTTTTTTTTTTTGAAGGTTTTCAATGATGTGGACAGTGTTCTGCCTGCATGTATGTCTGTAGGCCAGAAGAGGGCACCAGATCTCATTACAGATGGTTGTGAGCCACCATGTGATTGCTGGGAATTGAACTCGGACATCTGAAGAACATCCGGTGCTCTTAACCTCTGAGGCATCTCTAGAGCCCAAGTAAAAAAATATTTTTTGGCAGGGGGGAGGGGGGATTGTTCTCGAGACAACTTCATGTGGCATCTAAAAACTGGTAACACATAAGAACTTGTACCCAGTAACATTAAATTTGTATGTTCCTGTTACTGGCTGTTTACTGTTCTCTTTATTCTCCTGGTATATGGATCTCTGAAAATTCTATATTGTATATCTTCAGTATTGGAGTAAAGAATTGTTGGTAAATAATTTTTGTTTTGCTTTGTTTTAAGCCAGGGTTTCTCTGTAACAATCCTGGGTCCTGGCTGTCCTGGAACTCGATTTGTAGACCACACTGGCCTCAAACTGAGTGAGATCCGGCTGCCTCTGCCTCCCAAGTGCTGGGATTAAAGGCAAAGGCCACCAAGGCCTGGTGTAGAAGATTACCAGGGCTTGCGTTGGGACAGACAAGGTGAAGCTGGAGGAGTAGGAAGCAATTAGAAAATGCAGAAGCAGTTGTGGCAGATTAAATATGGAAAGCAAGGAGGCCACGCCACACAAAGGCCGAGTTTTATACTGGGTTAGCTAAATGCAGGGGAAGCATTCCTTCAAACGCAGTTGGAAAGGAAGAGCAAGCTGATAGTAGGGGGCAGATGTGAACATGCTCCTTCTGTCCCCTCTTCCGGGACACCCTCTGCGCTGGGGTTCGGCTGTGGCTGTCAGCCTTAGGCGCCATCGCATATCCGGCATAAGGATCTACTAGCTCCCACTGTTTTTAGCTTACTTGTTTCACATTACCCAATCCATCCTACACCTTCTTGTATCTCTTTAACTCTCCTTGTCCTTATTCATCTATTTCTGGACACATCACAGTTGTGTGTACCTTTTTTTTTTACAGACAGAAACACGGCACAATCTAGGAGGTAAAATCACTTGGAACACAGGACTAAGAACCTGAGTTCAAGTCCCTGGATCCCACTGTGGAAGGAGAGGACTCCCTGAAATTGACCTCTGACCTCTCTACCTGCACGGTGGCACGCAAACACCCACACTCATACATATACAATAAGAAAATAAAAACTTTAGGAAGATACACACCCATATGTTTAGTTCTGTGTTTGTGTAGGCATTGGAAATATATAGAAAGAGGCATAGTAAACTTAGTAATGCTTACCACAGATCACAGAAATGTGAGAAGAGACAAAGGACAAATATGGGTACCACATTTATGACGTTAGAATTCCTTAACACACTAGGCTTACATTACTTACTATTTTTATAATTTAAAATATTTACGTTCAGAGCTTGGCATGCTGGTACTTTAATTCCAGAACTCTGGAGGCAGAGACAGGCAGATATCTGAGTTCAAGGTCAGCCTGGCCTATAAAGCAAATTCCAGGCCTATATACGAAATGAGACCCTATCTTAAAAGTAAACAAAAGTGGGCTGGAGAGATGGCTCAGAGGTTAAGAGCACTGGCTGCTCTTCCAGAGGACCTGAGTTTAGTTCCCAGCAACCACATGGTGGCTCACAACCACCTGTAATGAGATCTGGTGCCCTCTGCTGGAGTGCAGGCATTCATGCAGGCAGAACACTATACATAATAAATGTCTTTAAAACGTAAGAGCAAACATAAGTTTATTTCTACTGGTGTGTAGACATGTGAGTGTGTGCACTCGAGTACCAATGTCTGTACTAAGCAGACTGCTAGGCCCCTTGACGCCACTAAGTCATCTCTCCATTTATTATTTAAAAAGAACAAAGAGAAAGAAGACCCTAGGTTATACGATTAGACCAGGCACACCAGGGCTCGCTGGTTAGTTTGCCCAGATCCCTAGCACCCTCATAAATAGTCCCGTCAGTGCATGCTTCTACCACCGCGCTGCAGAGCAGAGACAGATGATCCTGGGGATTTGCTGCTCAGCCACTAAGCCCAAAATTGTGAGCCCTAAGTTCAGTGAGAGACAGCGTCTCTCACTGGTGGAGAGGAACTTGAGGAAGGCACCCCTTTGTCAGCTTGCGGCCTCCACGTGAGCTTGCATGTAAAAGAACACTGACACACACGAGAACATCCATGAATCCAGCGTAAGAACCAGCAAAACAGCAGCAACAAAAAAAGAAAAAAAAAAAAAAACCCTACACTTTAAAAAAGATTTAATGATAAATACATATGAGTAGAAATGGTTAAACTCTTGAATGAAGGGCCATCCGAGGACTCTCCATCACGGCTCCCAGCCCTTCCCTCCAGGCTGACGGGGCAGCTGGAGGCCCACCAAACCAGCAGACTCCTCCACTGAACGCTCGCCCTTGCCATGAAATTCCTGGTGAAGGGCTACGTGCTGTCGGACACTCCGCAAGAGGCAGAGATAGGTAGCAGCTTGGAAGTGAAGCTCATGCTGGGCCCTGCACAACTCCTCACTGGTGACCTAAAAAGGGTAATTAACAGTCAGTCCGTGTTTTTAACCTATGTAGAGGTTTAAAAAAAAAAAAAAAAGAATACATGCATCCATGCATCGCCTCCTTTTAAACAAATTAAAGCTGCTTTGTGTTTCTGTGACCTGAACATAGCATATACCTTTTGTATAGGGATCCATTAAAGAATCTGCTAAAATGGCCACTCCAATATGTGGTTTTTGGCTTGGGTTTTTTTGTTGTTCTTTTGTTTTTGTTTTTTTTTTTTTCCCCCAAGACAGGGTTTCTCCATGGCCCCAATGGGCGTGGTCAGTGCAACAGGTGCGGGCAGGGTAGGTATGTCACTACACCTGGCTGTCTTGGAACTCACTCTGTAAACCAGGCCTGGCCTTGGCCTGACAGGCTTACCTCTGCAGGTGTGCACCATCAACAGTGGCTTTTCATAAGAGACAGAATATCCAGAGGCATCCGGAAGAGTCCAGAGCAGAGAGGAAGAGATGCAGTGGACTGAACGTGGCCAGGGCCGTGAAAGATCCGGAAATAGTGAATTTTAAGGACCACGATAGCCAAGGGCAAGGGACAGAGTGAGCTGGGACAGACCTGTGGGTTGGGGGCGGGGCAGGGCTGGGGGTGGTTAGCGGGGCCACGGTGCTAGTGTAGGGGCTTTTAAATGTACCAGTATTACGAGTAGGGATGGTGAGAGCCCAGAGGCTAGCATGGGCTTTGATGTTCAACAGTCCAATGGTGAGCCAAGTTCCTTCCGCTGGGAGCAAGAGAAACTCCTTCCGGTTCACTAAGGAGCTCTGGCTGTCCTGGAATTAAACTCCAGACCAGGCTGGCCTCAAACTCAGAAATCTGAGTGCTGGGGTGAAAGGCATTTGCCACCACCGCTGGGTGCACCTTATTCTTGATATTTGGCCCAATTTTGTAGTACAGTCCCTAACATTGTGCCTTTTAAAAGCCAAGTGAATTTTAGGTCTAAGGCTTTGCATCGCACAAATTCAGCGGTTAATATGATTGCTCAAAGACATCAGCTTTCCTTCTCCCAACTCCTAGTTCTGCTTATTGTTGCTTAGGTAGCTCCTCTTGAATTTGACCTTGTCCAAAACGTAGAGAATTAGTCACTACCCCATTGCCGTCTGATACTGAGGGTATGGAGTGTGGATTTCACAGTGGTACCTCCTAAGGATAGCATTCTGTGTGTTTGTTACATCAGTAAACCATGAAACCTGTGGCTGGATATGGCTCAGAGGTTAAGGCACTGGCTGTTCTAGAAGTCCTGAGCTCAATTCCCAGCACCCACATGGTGGCTCAGAACCCTCTATAATGAGACCCGAGGCCCTCTTCTGGCCTGCAGGGACACATGACGACAGAAACACTATACATAATAAATAAATCTTATTAAAAAATGTATCCTGTTATACACCAAGCTAATGATGTGGCTGGCAGTGCGATCATTTTATAGAATACAAGTCATTGCTTTTCTCAATGGTAAACAATATATTACACAATTAAAAAGCAGTACCTACACTTGAACTGTCCAATATTCCCCACCTCAGTATCTTAAAAACTGCTTTTGTCTGGCCTATGCCTTTAATCCTTGAGCTCAGCTGATATCTGAGTTCAAGGTCAATCTGGTCTACATGGCAAGTTCCAGGTCGTTCAGCCTAATAGAGAAATCCTGTGTCCTCCCTCGCCCACACACTGCTGCCGCACAAAAACATTGCTTCCTACAAAAACTTGAGTGCGGGAAGCGTGGGGGCGGGTGCCTGTGCCCTCCTTGTGCTCTAACTGTACCGACGCGGGGTCAGCTCCGTACAGAGCCCGCCCTTATCCCATTGCACACCGGGGGGGTGGCAGGCATGGAGTCCCCGTGGACAGTGGGCGGCAGCGGCCTTGGGGGCGCAGGCTAGGCCGGGGCTGGCGGGGGTTCGGGGTGAGAGTCGCGGCTGGAAGGCAGGTGCGAGAGCCCGCGAGCACCGCGCCGCCCGGCCCCGCCCCGTCCCTCCCGCCCCGGAGCCGTTTGCACGCGGCTTCCGTACCCGGTGCGCCTGGAAAGCCTTCACCAGGTACCGGTAGGCCGCCGTGTCGCGGTACGGTCGCCCGGTGGCCGCGCTCAGGTAGCGCAGCTCCCGCAGGAGGCCTCTGAGAGTGCGCGCCGGGCTCCCCAACGCCGCCATCGCTGCGTCCTCCCTCCCGGGCGCGGGGCTCGTTGGTCCGGCCCCGCCCCGTGCGCTGCACAGCGCCGCCTACCGACGGCCCCGAGAGGGCACCGCGGGGCAGCGCAGCTCTGAATCCCCAGCTGCAGTGCGGCTCCCCTGGCCACCGCGACGCGGGGCGCACCGCTGCGGGCACGGGCCATGCGCAAAGGATCTGCCCATTTCTGCCCGGGATGCCAGAATGTGATTCCCGCAGCGCAGGGGAAGGGGAAGCAGGGACTCGCTTCCCGGTGTGGCGGGCAGACCGCAGCCTCGACCCGCAAAGGCTCACGCCAGCTTTAAGTTTGTTCCAAGACGGCCAGAACCCGTCTCAAAAATAAACACGTACGACAACAACAAAATGAATAGTAGATCAAGCTCGGTGATCTACTTTGGAAAAGATCAAGAAAAGAAAGCTCCACCCCAGATGGGACTCGAACCCACAATCCCTGGCTTAGGAGGCCAATGCCTTATCCATTAGGCCACTGGGGCTCTGCGTGCTGAGACGCTCAAACATTATAATCAAGTCATTTCCTCTTTCTCACGTCATCACTTAACCTTTGTTTCATCCTATCCCGGGGACCCAGACCTAGAATCTGCCTGGAAGGGATGCCTGCTGGGAAATGTAGTTTAGAAACCGAGAGCCAACGATTTTTTTTTTTCCCCCTTCTTCCTGCAAACAGCTGGGGGCTTTGAAAGCCGGACGGGCTCCATCTTTTGCTGAGTTGCTCTGGCCCCTGAGCGTGGTAGATCTGCGCCCGAGCAAAGAGGGCCTGCGGGGACGCAGAGCCAAACCTGCTGGAGAAATTGCCGTGTCCTTCCTCGCTCTGACTCTATTCCCCGTCGCGTTTCTCCCTGCCTTTGCTCCAGCTGGCAGTGTTCCGTTTCTGCTCCCGGTTGCTGTGCCACTTCAGCAGTCACCGGTGTGTGAGAATGGTTGCCTCCATTTTCTAACAGAAGAGACAGTACAGCCCACTTAAGCTGCCAGACTAGACCGTACCTCGTTAGCATCTTACATCTTAACCTGTGCTAGCACCGGCCACTTCCTGTCACCCTCTGTCACCCCCAGCCCAGCAGCCTTCGGGTTCCCTCTTTCACATGCTGCAGTGTATTTTAGAGCAGCTCTAGGCCCTTACGCTTTACGTGTCAAGGTTCAAGTCGCTTTTGTTGCGACTTCAGAGATTGAGGCAGGAGGATCCCTTAGAGTTGAAAGCAATCCTGAGCAACATAGTTCCGGCGTGAGACTCTGTCCCAAATAACATAACATTTAAAAAATAAAAACTAAAAAGGTTATTCGCTTCTATTAGAACCCAGACCAAATTCTTAATCCATACTCATTTGCAACTGTCTGACTCTAACTCCTGGCGGCTGGTTCTGTGTACAGGACTCAACCTGTGTGTCAGGACTCCCTTCGGGGGGGTGTTGAATGACCCTTTCACAGGGGTCGTCTAAGACTATTGGGAAACACAAATGTTTACATTGTGTTTAATTGCTACAAAGTAGCAATTAAAACAGCTTCCTTGCTGGGGTATTAAAGGGTTGCAGCATTAGGAGGGTGGAGAACCGTTGTTCTAAGCTATGAGGCACACTGTGTGAGGGACGCGCATTAACTAAAGGGACTCCTCCCAGCTTTCCTGCACACTCAAGATCACACTTTCCTTCCGGGAAATGAATGCGAGTCTCCCTCCTCTCGACGACGTCAACCAAGAGTGAGCTGTGGAGCACTCAAGAGTTCTTGACATGGAACCTCACCACCGTCTTCCCTGAAACCTATAGAAAGGGATAAATAACCACTCTGACATTTGGGTGTCCCTTCTCATTTTTACTATGAAAGCAAGCAAAGCACGAGGCGGTGCTTACCGCTAGCTCAAGCACAATGTGGGACACACCTGGTGTTGCATCCTATCCTCTTTGGTCATGTGAAAGAGCCAAGAATATTCCAGCCAGGCCTTTGCCTTTCCCACAGAGATGACATGGACACTCCAGGGCATCAGTCCCTTCTTGTCCTTGCTTTCAAGTACATTCACTTATCATAGTTCATGAAATTTGGCTCGTTTTAATGTCATCAAGAATGTGCTCCCAGTATTACCGGAACTTCTGGTTTTCAAGGGGAAGCCGTGAATAAAAAAAATAATAATAAGGGGCTGGAGAGATGGCTCAGAGGTTAAGAGCACTCACTGACTGCTCTTCCAGAGGTCCTGAGTTCAGTCCCCAGCAACCACATGGTGGCTTGCAGGCAAATATACAGACAGAATATTGTGTATGTAATAAAAATAAGTAAATTAAATAATAATAATAATTTAAGTGCCCACTCTTCTTTCATTTCCCCGGGTGGTGGTGCACACGCCGTTAATCTCAGCACTCAGGAGGCAGAGACTGGCAGAGCTCTGAGCTTGAGGCCAGCCTGCTCTACAGAGCAAGTTTCAGGGCAGCCAAGCTTAGGCAGTGAAAGACAGAAAGTTTGTGAAGAGGTGATTGAACAGGGGCCCTGTTCCCGCTCCAGCAAGAGCAGAACTTGGCTTCTTTGACCATGTGGTCTAGCTTTAGAGTTAAGGATAGAAGGAGTGGAGTTATGGCATGAAGCTGCTGTGGCCAGGCATGTGCAGGTGTGTCCCTGAATGGAGGACTAATAGAGAGGCCATTCCATGAAGGCTGAAACCCAGATGGCCTTGGAAAACCGCTGAACAATGTTGGGGGAGGAAGAAGGCCCACCCTGGGTCCCCTGGGCCTGTGCAGGTAGATTCCAAACTCTAAGAGGTTAAGAAATGCCAGAGTCGTGGGACACCTGCTGAGGAAGGCGGATAACAGGGAGCAGAACCAGCCCGAGAGAAAGAAGTGTGCTGCTGACAGGAGTTGGGGTCTGAAGAGCTTTGACATCAGACCTGGAGTCGCAGAGTTTGGAGTCTGCCCAGCTGGTTTTCCATCTTGCTTTGGTCCAGCATTTCCTTACTACACTCCCTTCCCTATGCTTTGGAATGATGATGTATATATGTTGGAAGTATGTGATCTGCTTTTTGACTTTGATTTTTACAGAGGATTACAGGACTGAATCTCAGGAGACTTTGAACTTTGGACTTTTAAACATTGTTGAGACTGTTATAGACTATGGAGACTTCTGAAGTTGGGCTGGATGAATTTTGCATTATGATAAACTTATGGGGCTAGGGAATGGAATGTGGCAGTTTGAATGTAATTGACCCCAATAATCTCATAGGGAGTGGGACTATTAGGAGGTATGGCTTTTGTTGGAGGAAGTGTGTCACTCTTATACACAGGATACTGCCCAGTGTATCAGTCAACTTCCTGTTGCCTGCAAGATGTAGGACTCTCAGCTTCCTCTCCAACTCCACACCTGCCTGCTCCTCATGATGATAGTAGACTGAATCTCTGAAACTGTAAGTGAACCACCCCAATTAAATGTTTCCTTTGTAAGAGTTGCCGTGGTCATGGTGTGTTTTCATAGCAATAGAAATCCTAAGACACAAGGCTAGTCTCGAACTCATAGTGCCTGCCTCTGCCTCCTGAGCACTGGGATTAAAGGTGTGCACCACCATTGCCCAGCTTCCCTTCAGTCTTCAAAGTGCTGGGATTGCTTGTGCAAGGGACCACACCCAGCCAGAAATTTCTGATAATATTAGAGATCAAGCTTAGAAGCTACACACCCAACAATGTGATCTAATGCAGTGAAAACATTCTAGGTTTAGTCATGGTAGCTCACAGTGCTAGCAAAGGGCACTGGAGGGCACTGGTCACCTGCTGCCTTAGGGTTTCCATTGTGCTGATAAAACACCTGGGGAGGAGAGGGTTTATCTCATCTTGCAGGTTGTAGTCCATCACCCAGGGAAGTTGGGACAGGGACTGGAGGTAGGACCTGTAGCAGAAATACGGCTTGCTCAGCCTGCTTTCTTAAGTTATCTAGAGCCACCAGTCCAGGGTGAACTTGGGCCCTCCCCATCAATCATCAGTCAAGAAAATACACTCAGGCCAGTCTTACTGGGAGACGTTTTTCAATTGAGTCCCTTTCCCCAAATGACACAGGCTGCGTCGTTACATGAAACTAGCCCATGCACCCGTCAGATACTCAGGGACAATGGCTGAAATTGGCTTTCTCTCGGAGTGAAGTCCTTACCCTGAGGTCACATCCTGTGATGGCTGCTTTAGCTGCACTGACCTGAGTCACATGCCCACATCTTGGTCGTGGGGGGGGGGCGAGAAAGCAAATGTTGTCTCGTTTGATGGATCTTATTAAGCACCTGCGTGGGTCCCGTTCCTTTTTTCTAGGTGCTAGGGAAAGAGAAGAAAGCAAAGTACCCAGCGGCTGTATTCATAAGCTCCTGCTCTAGCCAAGCAAAGGGTAAAACCGACAGTGACCACATTTCTGTTGTGGAGATACAGCTGGGTTGTTGGGATCTGGGGCTTTGCCAGATGTTCAGGGTCTGTATTGACAATGTGATGTTGAGTAGAGAGACAAGCTTTCCTGTGTGACACACCCTACTAATGAGACCCTTTAGGGTCCAGCCCCCAAGACTCTCTCAGGGTTTAAGAAGGGATTCAACAGCAAGCCACCCTTATTCTGAGGGTGGACGATCTCTCTCACCCGAGCTTCTCCAAATCTGTCTCTATTGTTCCTCTGCCTCTGTTCTAATTCTCCTATCCTAACTCCTCCTTCTTTTCTAAAAGCTCCTCTCCTTACAAGCAGCCCTGAAGTGATTAAAAAAAAAAAAAAAATTACAAGAGTTACATCTCATTGGTCAAAAGCACATTCCTAGGGTAAGCGATAGGGAGCTGAGCCATTGCCATGGCAACACAAGGCTCCAAGGCCATAGAAGCAAGACTTGGAGACCAGCGACCAGACTGGGGTGGCCGGGGGTGCAGGTGCATAGTGCCCAGTGACAAACCCTGAGACACAGGTTCATTGTTAACAGACTTGGCAAGCCCTGAGCCGGCACACCCTTCCTAGGGTGCTCTGCGGCAGCCTGGCCAGGGCC